TTCATTATACAATTCTCTCTACTTTTTAATATGTTTGAAATTTCTGTTTAGAAAAAAATGTTTAAAGCCCTTTGCCCTGTGTCATTCTATCAAAGCAGGGTGATGACAGCTAGGAGCCTATAGGCGCTGAGTAAATATTTCCCAGGAAATGCCAACATCTGGCCCTATTTATCCCACACTTGTTCTCTAGCATACCGCCAAAGGCTAAGCTCACGATTTCACTATAATATTCAGTGTCCTCAGTTACAAAACTCCCTCCTCTCCTGTTCTAGGACCAGGTGTCTCAGAGATTAAATCTCACCTCTACTCTCCCAGAAAAATGCAACTGAAGTCAACTTCTGTATGCTGGGGATTGTAGAATAGCCCCAGGTGGAAGCTGTGAGGTCAGTAGCTCACACCATGACTTGCTATTCCCTTTGGCAAATTGGGCTCGACAAAGTCTGGAGCTGGCTTGCCCTGGCTTCAATGATTTGGCTGCGGTTTCAGATTGGCTCAAGGCCCAGCCCTAAGGCCTGGCTGGCTGCTGGGGGCTAGGGCCAGCAGGAAAGCCTGGGTTTGGACAAATTCCCAAGATGCAGAAATAATACATGACAAGAATGTGGGAGTCTGGCCATAATAGATTATCCTGTGGGCTGGACCTCTGCTGGGGAGGCTGGGGCAGGTAGGCAGATCAGCAGATCAGGACTCTTTACTCATCAAGTGCTTTCCACATGCTAGTACCGTCCTTAGCTCTGTACATGTATCAGTTCATTTAACTCTCACAATAACACTATGAGGTTGGTACTATTTTCCTATTTTTAGAAATGGACGAAATGAAGGCTAAAGATAAAGCCACTTGCTCCAACTAGTAAGCAGCAGAGTGAGAATTTGAATCTAAGTGGGCTGGCTGAGTCAGCAAACTTTATTAAAAGGCCACATAAATCCAAATGAAATGAAATCACTATCCTGAAGACATATCTGCACCCCCATGTTCACTGCAGCATTATTTGTGGTAGCCAAGACATGGAAAAAACGTAAATGTCCATCGATAGATGAATGGATAAGAAAGAAGAAAAATCCTGCCATTTGTGACAAAACGAATGAAAGATGAGGGCATTATGCTAAATGAAATAAGTCAGACAGGAAGAGACGAATACTGTATGATCTCAGTTACGTGTGAAATCCAAAAAAAAAAAAAATACATAAATAAACTCATAGAAACAGAGAGTAGAAGAGTGATTACCAGGGGCTAGAGGTCAGAGAAATGGGGAGATGCTGGTCAAGGGGTACAAACTTCTAGTTAGAAGATAATAAGATCTGAGAATCTTAGGTATAGTTCAGTGACTGTAGTTAAAAATACTATATTATATACTTGAAAGTTGCTAAGAGAGTAGATCTTAAAAGTTCTCACTATACACAAAAAAAAGTGAGGTGAGGTTGTATTAACTAATCTAACGGTGGTAAATATTTTGCAATATGTATATGTATCAAATCAATTCATTGTACACTAAACTTACACAATGTCATATGCCAATTATATCTCAGTAAAGCTGGGGGTATGGGAGAAGTCACACAATAAATATTTTCAGCTTTGCAAACCAGATGGTCTCTGTCAAAACAACTGAAATCTGCTGTTATAGCATGAAAACAGTAATAAACGATATATAAACAAATAGGAAAGGATATAGTCCAATAAACCTTCATTTTAAAGGTGGTATATCCATACAATGGAATATAATTCAGCCATAAACAGGAATGATGCATGATAAAAACACTGATTCATACTATAATGTGGATGAATCTCAAAAATATTATGCTGGTTTTTTTTTTTTTAAAAAAAAAAGCCAGACCCAAAAAGTCATATATTATATGATTCTATATATATAAAATGACCAGAGCAGACAAATCCCTAGAGACAGAAAGCAAATCAGTTGTTGCCAGAGGCTGGTGGATAATGGAGAATGACTAATTAAAAGATACAGGGCTTCATTTCAGGATGATAAAAATATTTTAGAGCTAGATAGCAGTGGTGGTTGCACAACATTTTGAATGTACTAAATGCCATAGAGTGTACACTTTAAAATAGTTTGTTTTATGTTAGATAAATTTTACCTTGAAACAAACAAACGAATAAACAAACATTGCTTACAAAACAGACACCTGATCCATAGGCCATAGTTCTCCAACTCTTGCTGTTCAGCATCTCTTAACAAACCCCAGAGCTGAAATAAAAAAAAAAAAAAAAAAAAAAAAAAAGGTATAAAAAATT